AGGTGGACGAGGCCGCGGGCCGGGTGGCCGCCGCGGTGACCTGGCTGCTGGGGGAGCCGGTGCTGTGGCTGGGCGGCCGCGCCGACGAGCTCCTGAGCTGGAAGAGGCCGCTGCGCAGCCTGCTCGCCTTCCTGGGTGCCAACCTGCTGTTCTGGTGAGCGCTCGGGCGGGGTGGGGGCCCCGGGCAGGGCAGGTGACCTTGGGGCGCCTGGGGCCGGGTGTGGCCAGGGCGAGCTGGACCAGGCGAGGCGGGGGACGGAGTGTCAGCCCCGAGCCACTTGCTTGGTCACCTGCCTCAAACAGGTAGACAGACATCCACTTCAACTTTACTCCAGATGGACTTGCCTGGAGTGGCCGTCGCCCTCCAGGTGGACACCAGTGGGTGTCCAGCCTCCAGGGCGAGGAGGTGGTCGGCTGACCCTCGCTCTCCTGAACCTATGGATGTTCCCAGAGAGCTCGAAACTTCGGCCCTGGCTTTCTAAACTCGCAGGTCTTTGTTTGACCTGTACGAAAATTTCAGGTATGCCGGTGCAGTGTTGCTTGAACTTGGATGAATTTTCGCACGCCACGGAGGTATATCTGGACCTGTTTTAGGTACACGCTCAACGCTGCTGCCTTCCTCAGCCATCAGAGATGGGCGCCGAATGATTTGTTTTCCCTTCCCCTGGAGGGCTGGGTTTACGTCTTAGGTCCCAGCAGAGAACGCAGGAGGTAAACAAACAGGTGGATTATGCCCATCGCCCCGCCCCCCAGGTGTGCACAGCGGTGGGGGTCGGCGAGGACACAGTATTTTCTTGTGAACTCCAGAGGGGTATACACAAGAATGTTCTCGTAAGAGCCCCGGATCAACAGGTTTGTCTCTCCCAAGTGTTCTGCGCAGATAAGGACCCTGCAGTGTCCGGCTCCTTCCCTGAAGGACATGCCCAGCATTCCACTACCAGTGAGCAGAGGGCCCAGAAAAACCGTGTTTGCTAGGTGTCTTCCGAACAAACATGACCCCCGCCGTGCAGAATAAGCAATTTCACTAAGCTACCGGTTTACAAGACAGATTTCTTAATCCCGAAGTTGGGAAAGAAATAAATGCATTAGAGATACATAGCCTGTCATTTTCTAGATTAACTTGAGCAATGTGAAGAGGGAAGGGCTTTTCTGCAGATTCTTAGGAGTCTTGGTTTACTCTTAAAAACGAGCCATGTCTTGTCATGGTCTCGAAGTGCTCATTAACTTCGGATCTCTCAGCTACTGGTGTTTCTAGAGTTTATTCCAACTCTATCTTATTATAAAGTTGCTCAAGGCTTTAAATAAGGTTATATTATGTAGTGCTTGGCTGGACAGGAAACCCAGTCTTAGGACCCTGTCTCACTTATTTTACCAAGGAGCGGCATGTTTTTAAAGGTTTTTTTTAATTTAAAGTTTTATTTATTTTAAAAAGACAACTTCCACAGTTCAAAAGTTTGAAGGTACAAAAATGTAAACACTTTGAAAATCTGTTTTCCTTTGAAAATTGCTTTCCCACGCGGGTCCCCAGCTACCTGGCTTCCTCCCACAAGCCACAGGTCTTCTGGGTTTCTGAACATCTTTTCAGTTAGTGTCTGTTTCAGCAAAAGCATGGAGTACTATGGTGAATATTCTCCAGGTGTCTTGGTGATCACGCCCTTGTTTTTCAAATGCATAGAATTTATTTGCAAGGACACCTCAGATCATCCAACCTGTCCCCTATGGCACTGAGGTGATTCCCCAGCGCTTGCATCTGTGATGTCATACCTAAGAGTCTCCTACATGTGTATGTAAAGTGTCTTTATAGCTAAGTTGCTGGGTCAAAGGGGATGTGTACTTGTGATCTCAGTGGGCATCACCATATTGCCCTTCCTTGGGGTCTGCCAACTTAATATACCACAGCCGGTAAGCATGGTTGCTTCTCTATGCTCTTGCTAAGATCTTTTTTCACTATATATTTTTTAACGAAATTTTGTGCATTTCATACAATACATCTTAATCATATTTAGACCCCCTCCTCCTAACTGCACTCCTCTTATAGCCCATCCACTGGATTTCATGCATTCTGTCATGTATGTTAAGGCCTATGGAGTCATATGGTGTGAGTTCACTCACTGGAGTCTGGTCAGCCTGTCTAGCATCCGTCATTCCCTTAAAGAAGATCAACTCTCTCTCACCCAGCAGTGATCAGCTGCCAGTAGTTCCTCAGCTAAGACTGGGGCCTCCTTCCCATTTCCCCAGTTTTATGCTGGGTTTTTGTCTGATTGACTTTGTTTGGGTCTTGTGCATGCTGTCACCATTGCTGTAAGTTCATATAAGCAATTTCCCAGAAGCCTGGAATGCTGTTCCTTTATGGTCATGAACCACCACTGGCTCTTATAATCTTTGAAGATTTTATAAATTTTTTTAATCTTGGGAATCTAATAGGTGGAAAGGGTATCTCAATATGATTTTACATTTACATTTATCTGAGACTGAATATTTTTCTTGTGTTCAGGAGCTACTATAATTATCTTTCTTTTTTTCTGAAATGCCTATTTACCAATAACCCTTGTCTGTTTTTTTGCTTGAGACATTGATTTTTTTTTTCTTTTTTGGTCTTTTTGAGACAGGGTTTCCCTGTAGCCCCAGGTGTCCTGGAACTCACTAGGTAGACCAGGCTGGCCTTGAACTCACAGAGATCCGCCTGCCTCTGCCTCCCAAGTGCTGGGATTAAAGGCGTGCACCACTATGCCTGATGAGGCATTGATCTTTTACTTATTGATTTATAGGAGCTCTTTTTATAGGAAAGATTTTAGCTTAATTAGTGTAATAAGTTGCAAACATTTTTCCTGTGATGTATTCTTGTATGTTTGTCTGTGAGAGAATGGGATGTATGCATAGTTTGTGTAGGTGTTTATAAGTGCTACAGGTACATATGCATGTGTGTGTACATAGTAGATGTCAGAGGTTGATGGTTGGTGTCCTCTTGAATTATTCTCCACCTTAGTTTTTTGAGATGATCCCTCATTCAACCTGGAGCTCATCAGTGTGGTCAGCCCTGCTGGTCCATGAGCCTGCTGGTCCATGGGCCTGTCTCTATTCTGAGTGCTGGAGTTACAGATGTGCGCCACCACTCCGAGCTTTTCTGTGGGTGCTGGGGATCTGAACTTACGTCCTCCTGTTCATGTGGCAGGCACATTACATACTGTGCCGTCTCTCTAGGCCTCCCATGACATATTATTTAAGAACAACCGTTGAAACTATTTTTTACATAAGTAATTGAAAGATATAATTAAAGTTATTCAAGAGTGTTGTTTCTATTCATTTGACTTATCACTCTGATGGAAAATGTGTGCGTGGAATGCGGCTAGCACAGAAATAAAGCATTCAGAAACTTAACAGCCCTACTCTTCAAATTCTGAAATACTTGTTACTTTTGTGTTATAATCTATTGGAGTCTATGAGGATGCATTTATTAATGTCATAAAAGTTTTGAAAAATTTTTATTAGTCTCTCTGGGGTTAAAATACTTTTCAAGGGCTGTAACTTTAAAAATGTATTTCTTTTCAAATGGTCAAATGGTCTTTGTTTCTTCTTTTTTTTTTTTCCTTTTGTTTTTTGAAACAGGGTATTACTCTGTAGATTAGGCTGGCTTTGAACTCTTTAAGTAGCCTACCTTGGCCTCAAACTCACAACAGTCCTTCTGCCTCAGCTTCCCAAGTTCTAGGACTAAAGGCATGAGCCATCATCCCTGGCTTCAGATGATCTCATATGATACTGGAATATTTGATGCCCAGGAATGCTATAGCTTGTTTTCTGTGAGAAAAATGGAGAGATCAATATGTTAGAAATAGACTGAGCTATAGAGCAAGATCCTGCCTCAAAAACAAACAAAAAGAGAAGCCCAGATCTTATCGTAAGCAGTAGAGTGCTACTGCATCCTCAAACATATAATGGAATGACTTAGTGCCAGGTACTAATAACTGCTTTCAGGACTTTGAATCTGACTAAAAAGTTTTGACATTGACTATATGCCCATGATCTGCAATATTTTAGTGCTGTGCTCAGAAAACAGCAGTTGAGACATGGCTGTAACAAACGGCTAGCATTCAGTAAACATTATAGAAAGTTCTGGAAGGGATAATTCACTTTTCTGTGAGTTGGGTGGGCCAGTGGCGCTGTGGATGGGAGGAGACTGTAGGGTCTTCATATGATCATGCTTAAACCAGACTTTGATGGACAGGAGTGGTTTGGATATATCTAGGACTTGTAACCCTAAGGAATAAACTGAAGGAAAGAATAGCACATTAAAGCACTCTCAGTGTTCTGTGCACAGCACAGGTAAGCGGATGCAACAGCAACACAAAGCCCCAAGGAGACAAGAGGTAGATGTGTTGGTTGTGAGGATTGATTTGGGGCATAGCAATTGCCAGAAACAGTGTTTAGCATTTGAAGTGAATTTTTCTATAGGTAATAGGGACAGTAAAAATGCTCTGTAACTGTGTGCATAAATATTAAAATAGGGGACTGGAGAGACAGCTCACCAGTTAAGAGCACTGGCTGTTCTTGCAGAAGACCCGGGTTTGGTTCCCAGCATCCCCATGGCAGCTAACAGTCATCCATAACTCCAGGGGATTCGATGCCATCTTCTCACCTCCACAGGCATTGCACAACACAGGTACAATGCAGGCAATACACTCATTTGCATACAATAAAAATAATAAACTAAATATTAGGTGGATAAATAAATTAGTGTTCATTTAGTCCTGCCATGGACTAAAACATAGCAGGGAATACAGCTATAATCAATAACACAATGAATTTTACAAGAGTAATTTGGGATAAAATAAACACAAAATAGCATATACAGAATTAGGGTCTCACTATATTGCAGACCGACTTAATTTAAACTAAAATTTTAAGATATGCAAAACTAAACAAGACTGATTTAAGGATGCACACATAGGTGACAAAACTGTAAAGAAAACAGTCTTTAGGGCTGTAGAGATGGCTCAGTGGTTAGGAACACTGATTGTTCTTGCAGAAGGCCTGGGTTTGAATCCCAGCACCCACATGACAGCTAACAACTGTCCAAAACTCCAGTTCCAGGGGATCTGATGGCCTCTTCTGTCCTCCGTGGGCATTGCACGACATGGGGGCACTTACCTACATGGA